CCCGCCCCCGAGCGCACGACATGACGAGGCGCGACGAGAACACGCCTCGCGAGTGACCACAGTGACCACAGTGACCCTCAGTGACCATCAGCCTGTGCTTCCATCTAGACGGTGTACTGTCCCCTGACTGGCTGTGGGAAACACCCCCGTGTCCTCAGGCTTCCGTGTTCTGTTCTGTTCCCTACGTCCTCCCGGCTGTGCGCCCACTGCGGCTAGCTGCTTACCTAGCCCGGCCCCACGTGACCGTCCCATGCCCGTCCCATATTCGTCCTCCAATCTGCCTCTCCGCCAGGGTGTCCCTTTGCTTCTTTGGACGACTGCGGCTGCAGCCGAATGAACGCAACTGTGGGCTTCCCGTCTCGGCCACCGACGCGCCGCAACAACGACGCGCTGCAACGGGCAATGCGATGTTGCAAACACGCGTAGACTGCTCTGGAAACGACGCTGGGAACGCTGACGTCGCTTACTCCGTAGTACCTCTGACCTGATGACTGTGCCGCCCTCAGCCGCCCGCCCCTCCAAACCACTCCGCTAAGTCCCTCACCACACGAGTGGCAGCACCTCAACACGCCCGCCATGATGCCGCCATGTCAGAACCTCCTCCTCGGCCTCCCAAAACCGTTAGTCGCTAGCTCTCATCTCGCCATTTGCTGTTTCGGCTAGCACTCAACGGTGCTTGTGGCGCCAGGCGGCAGGCTACAGCTGCACCCTCCTGACGCATCCAACGGCCATGTTAGTGCCCTGCAACATCTCTCGCCCCATTGCCTTCACCGATGCGACATGGGCGACTCTCAATTACCGGACCGAATAGGAATCCTCCCGCGCGCGCTTTTCCAAACAAGTCCCTATCTTGGTATCTCGACCCCCCTCTGATTGGCTCGTGACCCGCCCCTGTCTCCTGCCTGACCGATGACTACGCTCGAGGGACCTCGTCTACGAGAACGTCAAAACGCGGACATTTTCAACCAGACACTAAACGGTGTGCAAGAGCTGGAATAAAGTTAAGCTACTGTCCATCACCTTGTACACCGAAATGACCTGATCAGTGATCAGACCTGCCTGTCGTCGTGACCTTCGGGTAGCTGCATGGCGATCCTACAGAGCTATCGGCCTGCCACGCCGCAAAGGAAGATCCTTCTGCTCCCAGTATCAAAATAACTCTTCATGTGGGGGACGTATTCGCCCACTACTATACTATCGTGTCTGGGCGATTCAAACAACATGCGTCCCCTAAACCTGCAAGCGATAATGAAAGTCTTTCACGGCTCTAGCCAGATTGACTGTGCAGCGCATTCGATAATTCGCACAGGAAGTCGCCGTCTGCTTTCCCGAGCATCGAGAGCCCTACGGGATGCCGCAAAATCACCAGCGGGCCGAGTTCCTGACTCTGTAATCTTCCTGATCAGCTTTCTCGCAAGTTTCACGAGTGTTTCCTGTCGTGGTACAAGGTCATTATCCTGAGTGTTACACCACAAGCCAAGGCACTCATCATCAGCCCAAGCTTAGGCCCGAGGCGATTACCTTGCCACTATCCGATTGCTCTATCTGCAGATCGATGAATCGATGCCTTCCTTGCATCCATCCTCTGCTTGCATAGCAGCACGTCTGTTCATGGTCAGATCCACCTGGCGGACTTAATCATCCGGCCTACCATGGTTATCACGGACGCCCGTATAGAACACGTATGTTGCTCGCATGGGCACGTCGTAGCTAGCGAGTCCATCAATGCGGTTGAGCCATGCGAGTGCTAAGCCCTAGGTTTACATTCGCACATCCCTGTCACCGGGAGTCGTTCCCCGCCTCGCCTGCATCACCAAAACGACGCTAATAATCTCTCAAAGACCGACCACGGACTTTGAAGAGACATTGCGCCAATCAAGCTCAGACACCGCAGGATGAATGTTTGGCTCACACCGGCAGTACAGACCCACCCTCTAGCAAACTTCCTCACGTCTGTGTGGCGAGCTTGGCCGTCAATCATTCGCTTAGGCATGTATGCGTGCCTGCACGACATCGCAGCATCGAACCTTGAGATGCACGACGCCCCCGTCCAGGTTAGCTTGAAGCAATCCGTGCGAGAGAAAGCTGGAAGCCTAGACCTTTTACTTGTAGGTGAGCAACAGTCCCTGCTGTGCAAACCCTTCTGGTGCGACTGACTCACGCATCGCATGCTCAGCAACGTGATAAGGCTGAGATGGCGCAATCGTCAGCTTCGCAATCATGTCCAGGTCACGCCAGTTCGTGCCTGGCGATGCCTCGCATGCGTTATCTGGCAGACAGAGCAGCTAGCCTCGTTCTCACGACTATCCATACCTCATTTGCCAGTCAGCATATTTACAGTGGATTGCCAACGCGTGCATATACGCGAGCAGCACCATGCTTGTCCACAAGCAATGCGATTGGCCTGTAGTACTTTCCAAATTCCAGCATCCTGGGCCCCAGCCAAGTAACTGCCGACTAATCGCTGCAGCCTTGGACCGCAAACAGCTGAAAGACTGTCACTCTATCCACCATCGGCCCTTCTTTTGGGGGACGCCCCTTTCGCTGTTCCTTTTCAAGTGACGACCCTTATGCCTCGGCTCGTTGCCGGGTGAGAAAGACGTTGGAGACATGATCACACTGTGCCGCTTACGCGAGTATGCTGACCTCCAAGGATGATCCACGCCCTGCACCTCCCGCGCAAGAAAATCTCGACACTCACACCGATATCTCACAGAGTGCAACGCCACCAGAACAAACGCCTCGCCGCGAAGGCCTCTTCGACCCTTTCTCAACGGTGACTGCTTCACCAGGAGCATTGACCAAGCGTTTCATGGCAATTATCCTGAACTGTGGGGCACCATCCGGGCCGCATCCGTACCTTAAACCAACATCTAAACTTCATGCGAGAGGCAATGTTGCGCATCGTTCCTAGCACTGCGCAGAGCCGTGGCAAATATGAAGGGGAAATGATTCGCGCCTGGGTGTGCTGACTCGAACTTTGCCGCAGGAAGCCGACGTTCCAGATGATGGATGCACACCCAGCAGCGTGGTAGTACGATCCATGAATTATTGTACGGACGATCGTACGGACGATAAGCGTCCAAATGAGGCAGTTGTCGTAAAAATGAACTCGCTCATGGAGAAAACTAACACCGTTCAGTATATAGATTTTGCTTTTCCGCTGACTGGAGCCGGCGTGCACAGCCGCTCGTCCCGAAAGAGTCAAGGTACGGGTAGCTACAGTGCTTCTTCATGCACGACATTCTGATCGGTAGGAAGAAAAGCAAGCGCGCCTTTGTGTGCAGCCATCCGACAGCCTCTTCCTCAGCGAACAATGGCGCAATTGAACCCTTTTCTTTGAGAAACCGAGGAGGCTGATAACGCCAGAGGATTCCAGAAGAAGCAATAAACTTTGTGTAGGCTATTGGCACTACAGCGCCAGAAGGCAAATCTAACCGACCCCTAGAACGCGAATGCCGTATGTCGAGATGGCCCTGCGACTACCACACAATCGTTTCTCTCCATGCTCAATACTGCGCAGGATGAGCGCTTACAGTCAGGTTTTACCGGGAAGACCTTGTCTACACGACACACAATCTACCCACCTGACCTCCCTTTGATGCGGCCACCTCATTCAAGGGAAAAACGGAATACCGTAGAGCCTGCGTTGACGTTGGGTCACCTACTTTGCACGTCTCCATTCTGATCCAGGCTGTAGCAGGCCCGTCCAGCTTTCTTCTTGTATTCGGCAACGCGGCGCATCTCCTCTTCCAAGCACTGAATCCGCGCTCGCATCCAATCCATTTCGACGTGATTCGCCTCGACCTCGTGCTCGTGCCGCCGTTTCAGAAATAGACAGTCTTGGTTTCGGCTCTCTGCAACCGACAGCAGATGGTGGAACTCTTGTTGCATGGCCCTAGTGTCGCATTTCATGGCGGCTGCCAGGAAGCGCCCGTGGATGTCGTCCTGTGACATGCTGGTGGCTGGTGCGGCGATGACGCTTGTGGAGGAGGGCTGCGAGGGAGTGGTCTGTTGGGGCGGAGTGGTGGCGTGCCTGTGGAGAGCGACTTGGTAACTGCGCATCAGTGGGTCGTGAGGATCGTAGGATAAGAAGTGATTGGCCATTGGGTTGTATTTGATAGGCGTTTCTCGGTTCTGTTTGGCTGGGGGTAGTTGTTGTTGAGGCTGTGTGGTTTAGCAGCGATGTCGCGATGGGGGCTAGTAGGTGTGAGATTGGATGTAGGCTGGAGGGAGTGAAAATCCGCCATTAGATGCGCAGCGACAGCACTGTGTACCCTTGGCGATCACGATTCACTCGCTTTGCTCTTTGCAACTCATACCTTCATCAGTGATAGTTCGCCTGCTTTCACAGCTGCTGCCTTATCAGTATTGTCAGCGATGATCCCTATATGTGCTATCTGAACTCGCCACCACCATTTGTTTCTACCCGGAATCCCTTTCTATCCGGAATCCCTTTATATCCGGAATCCCTTCTTTCAGGGTCTCCAGTGCCTCCCGAAGAGAAGACGCAGCAAGCTGATGTGCTGACCGCGAGTACAGTGGCGACTTCGTATCTTTGAGGGCCCCCATCTACCATCACCCAAGCTCACTGCCACCAGCGCATTCGCCACAGCGACAGGAATCGCAATCCAGGACTCTACACTCATCGTGTTCACCCCTACTGCAACGCGATCCTTCGTTCCTGGAGTCTGCTCCTCTTTCCTACGCATCGCGCACGAATACGGACACACAGCTTGTATTTCATTCATCAACAACTCTGTCGAGAGCATGTCAGTGACCACGACAATCTACCTGGCAGCATGCAGAAACACAAAGAAGAATTGTCGGAAGTAAAGGTCATGATGAACAAGAGGTAAGAATTCAAGGTTGATTAGGAGACTACTCTAGGTATCTACAGCAAAAGGTCTCTCGCCACTCTACTCTACACCACCTTACCACGTAGAAACACCCCCTCAGGTCATCTTCGCAACGAGGCTCATGAAACCAAACTTATCAGCCTACGACGAAGATTGCAGCCCCTCCGTCTCGTACTCGCGCGCATCCTGGAACAAGTCGATGATGCAGCTAGCACTCCAACTCTGCGTGGGGCACGAGTCGCCGCAGAAGGCGCCGTCCTTCTGGGTGAGCTCCGTGAGACCAGCCCACGGCGACTCTTGGATAGCCTTCATGCAGCCGGCGAGGCGGCGCGTGACTTGTTGGTAGCTCTCGACACGTTCGTCGGGCGTCTTGCGGCGCTTGAGATCGAACTTGAGCAGAGCTCGCAGGAAGAAGCCTGTGGGCCAGAGCCACTCGGGTCCTTGGTGGTAGTTGCGGCCCTTGGATGTGGCGAAATCAGTCGAGTCTTCGCTGTTGATGTAGTAGCCACGGTAGTTGAGGTCAGAGGGGTCGAGTGTCTTCATGCCCTGTGGACCGAGCAATACCCTGTCGGCCATCTGGAGGGCATACAAGGCATGCTCAGGATCGCAGAGGTCCGGTGCAACCGTCATCATAATAGGGAAGTTTGGCCTCAGCTGGTAGTCCTCGTACTCCTTGCCTGAGCGGTACAAGTCCTTGTAGATACCACGACGGTTGACGATGCTCGAGTTGACGTCGTACTTGCTGTCTTCTTCTGCCGAACGAGGAACGTAGAAGCAGCGTTCGAAGTTGGCCTTGATCAGGTCGGCCCACTCCTTGTAGGTAACGGTCTTCTTGCCGTCGTCCAGGGTAACGCCCTGGTACTTGAACTGGCCTGCGTCGTACATGTCGGCGCACCAGCGTACTGTGCTGTACAACATGCCGATGATCTCAACCGGAGCGCCGTCTCGTGGTGTACCGGGAACACCCTTGCTGCCGGCCTTTTCACTCTCACCCATCTTGTCCATCCATGTGCCGCAATTCCATTGGTTACCACCGAAGATCATACCAGTCTCCCAGTCTGTCCAGATCTTGATGTTGAAGCCTTCGGACTTCATTTGGCTGTCAATGTTCGGGCCCGCGTCATACTCCCGGAACTCTATGCCGGAGGCGTGTCGCTGGAGAGCCTCCTGTATGACATCTTCGATAGTGGAGGACTGAGAGTACGCTTTTGCATCGGTGTGAGCGAACCATGTGTCATCGTACGGCAAGAAGCGACGCTTGACCTCCTCTTGAAGAAGCTCCATGCCCTTGGGCACAATCTTGCAGTAATCTTGGCAGTTTTGGAGGAAGAACCAGACTGAGTCGCGGGAGTTGTAACGTGGGTTCTTGCCACCACCGAGGAGATTGGGGACCATGCCATGCTTCAAGACGCTGGCAAACGCAAAGATGTGCTCCTTAGCGTCGGCATATCTACCAGTTCCCATGTAAAGACCACGGGCGGAGATGGTAATGTCACGTCCCCAGCATCGCGCCCAGTCGTAGGCAAAGTGAGGGAGACCAGCGGCCATGCTGGGTACGCTCTTCTCGGGCCACAACGAGGCGCTGTTCATGTAACCGGTGACTTGGCAGCTGACAAGAGCAAGACTCTTGAGGAACTGGTTACCCTCGCGGACGTTCTCACCCATGAGCTCAATGGCTCGCTCGACTGCAGCGTTGTATGCAGTCTGGATAACGAGGGCAAAGTATCGCGGAAGCATGTAGCTGGGGACCTTGCGAATGGCATCGAACTTCGCTTCCAACCACTCGGCGGGGCCCTTAATGTTGACGTACTCCGGCTTCTTGGAGATATTTTGAAGGCGACCAAGGCAGTAGTCGAGCGCCCATTGACCCTCACGCAGATGGTTGCAGAGTGGGTGGCCAAGGTTGTTCTCGTTCACAATGTCGCGGAGGACACTCCACCAGCCTTGCAGACCAGCGTAGACCAAGTTGCCATGACCTGGGACGTTGTATGTTCCGTCCTTGTGGTCCGTAGCGTCCCTCTCTTCCTCTTCACATCTGTATAGGATGTAGTTGAGGTCGATGAGGTTGACACCACTGAAAGCCGAACGCGCTCCGCTAGTGACGAACTTGTCGAGGCCTTCAGCATGCTCTGCGCTGGGTACCCAGGTCTCGAAGAGAGCGATACTGCCCGGTGGGAACTTATCAGGGATGCTGATGGTGGTATCATCGCCAGTAGCCTCGATGTTGACGCCTTGAAGTTCGTTTGTCTTGCTGGGCAAGCCGCGCAGTGTCGTCTCGTCACCGATGATACGCGCTCTTGTCTCGGGACTGTTGTCGACTTCGAGATTCCAGGCGCCGACGAGCTTTGCTTGAGTGCCTGGTAGCTTGGTCTTGCCAAAGCCTCCATTGCCGTTGCCGTAGCCAGGGAATGCGGTGTGGGCAATTAGGAAGTAACCTTTCCTGGTGTGAGGGTTGACCCGATGGACGGTAATATATTCGTTGTCGTGGTGAATATAAGTCTCATTGTACTCCTCCTTGCCCATTTTGACGTGGATCTCGTTGATAATCTTGCGGATGCCACCAATACCACCTTCTCCAGCTTGTGCTTTGATTTCGCCTCCAGTGGAGTTTGCAGAGGAATACAGTCTCTTCTCGTGCACCAGCTCAATCAGCTCAGGGTAGCACTCGTCGTAACCGAAGACGCTACCAGTCGCGCAGTCGCACATGGCGACGAGCGCGGCACTGGGGAGCGTGTCGCGTGCATCGCGCTTCTGGGCTGGCGTCTCGTTGTCGTGCGTGCAGTCCATGAACAGCGCGTGAACAGGGCTGCGCTTGATCTTCTTGATGATGGGCTTCGTCTGGTCAGCCCCATCAGTCGCCTGTGCAGCATTGAGCACTTCGTCGGTCTCGAAGCTGCCGATGGGAACACCACCGTGACGGTGAACAAGTCTGCTCAGCTCTTGAGTACTCCATGACTGCATGGCTTCTCGAATCAATGCGCAGATTCCGAGCTTCATGCAAAACTTGTAATCCATCTCTTCGGACCCAGTGAAGAGCTCGGCGCAGACCATGACGTTTGAGTTAACGCTACGTGCTTGGTCAAGCATGTATTCGGCGAGATGCAGAGGGGTGGAATGGCAGTTGTCGATACGGAAGCCTTGGAAGTACTTGGCCATGAGGCGGGTGTACTTGGCCATGTGATCCCAAAGGAAAGGGTTGTCCTCTGGGCCATCTCCGTATCGGAGCTTGACGCAGTCGCCCCAAACAATAACCTCTCTTCGCAGGTATGCTCTTGACTTGGGCCCAGCGTTGTCTCGCATCGCATCTGCAGCCCATACCCATCCGTTGTTCACCAGCGCGAGAGCTTCGGGGTTGTGCTTCTTTGTGGTCTCGTTGAGTGGTAGGCGCGTGAAGTAGGTCTCGATGAGTGGGTTCGCGTCGTTGACTTCGCCCAGCTTAGGACCATGGGCGTCCATTCGGACGTACTTGGTCCGGTTGAAGAGTTGCTCCATGATCTCTGCTTGGTCTTGGTCATACTCGCGGTAGAATGGAAGGTTGACCTCGTTGAGCATAGCCGTCATGGTGCCTTGAGCAGCCCGGTCGTCGGGCGTATTGCTAGTACGAGTGTCGTAGCGACCGAACAAGGCGCACAGTAGGCTAGCAGCGATGTTCGGGTCCATTGTTCGACGGTAGCGCTCGCCCATGCGATCACCGCCGCGCAGAGCATGCTCGACCAACCAGTCTGCTTTCTGCTTCAGTGGCCAGTTCCTGACAGCATCGAGCCCGCGAAGACCAGCTTCACTAAAGCTGCCATCAACAAACTTGGCTTGGCCAGAGGTCCAAGCCTCCATGATGGCCTTGGTGTCTCTTTCGACGTCAATGACGTAGAATTGCCAGAGCTTGACCTTGCTAAGGACGTGGTCCTTGACACCTTGCATGACCTTGAGAAGGTCATCTTCACTGTTGAAGGTTGTGGGTAGGCCATGCTTGGAGAGGTCCTTGCTGAACTGCAACAACTCTGTATCGAGTTCGAGAGCAGGTCGCAGGTGTGGAGCGGTGTCGACGTTGTAGCCGGATTCTGGATGCTCTTCGAGCCATGGGCTGTTGTTGGCCGTGTGGTTCCAGACGACATCGGTCATGGCAAGCAGATTGAACTCGTTCTGCATCTTTCGGATCATGTTCGCAATGTCCTTCTCGCCTTCTTTGAAGATGGCCTTGTCAAACTCCAGTTGATTGTAAATACTGTAGGGCGAGTTTGAAGAGCCGCGCATCATCAAGGGTGTGAAGTGCACCATGTTGAAGCCACGCTGGCTCATGCCCTGCAGGTGGTTGTCCCAGTCTGTCGGGTAGTTGCCCATGAATTTGGACAGGCAAGAGATGATGCAGACGGCCTCGACCGGCAAGTGCTCGCCCTGCAGCTTGAGATTTGGACATATGTCGATGTAGTAGGTGTCCGTCCGCGTGGGTTCAGGCGACGCAACGTCTGTGAAGGACCACTGCGGCAGCGGTGTGTAGGTCGTGTAGAAGGAAAAGGCATTGGCCTCGTGGACGGGGATCTCAATCTCACACATGCCAGTAAAGTTGGGCTGCAGTCTGCGGTGTGTGTCAGTGACATGTGACCAGGCAAGGCATGGCAGGCTGCTTACTTGTACTCGCGGTACTGGCTGCGCTTGAACTTCTCGCCCTCAGCGGGGATGTTCACCCAGAGACTGCCCTCGCGACATATCGAGCTGGTACCCTGGATCTGGAAGCAAATCGAGTATGCTGGGTTGGTGGGGGGAGGCAGGTAGATGTAAGTGCCAGCGACGTCTGGGACTCCGTAGTCGGTCAATGGCAGCAGGTAGACGACCTTGCGGTCCGAAGACTTGGGGTGTGTTGGCAGTGCTACAGACATGATGGTGTCGAGAGACTGCAGGGTTGCGGAAGAGTTATGCGGTAGTAAACAATAATAGTAGGTGGATAGCGGTACTCTAGGATATCTATCTTTGACGTAGCAATGGCGGCGATGCAGTCAGAGAGAGTGGTAGTAATGCAGTGGAGGAGCAGCGCGGTCGACGGAGGTAATAAACAGGCCAAAAGCCGTTTGCGCAGTCGCTTCTGAGGGTCAATTGCCCTCTGTGTGGAGAGAAGGAAGCAGCGCCTGGAGACGTGTGAGATCGGCGGTGGGCGGTCGCGAAGCATACGAGCCGCAAGCGCAACCCGCGGGAAACGTCATTGCCCCAAGCTCCAACCCCAGCTGGCGCCCCATGTGGCCCCGTCCTCGACGAGTTCTACTCCAATAGCGCGGGGGCTAGGCATGCGTCCCAACTCGATCCAGTTGGTACGAGGGAAATTGTTGAACACGTTGAAACTGCCATGGAAACGCTTTCTGCCATGCGACGATATCCACATATGATACAAATGAACCCGCTCAAAATGCTACTTCTTCCTGTCCCGCTCTCCCAACGCCCGTATGCAACATAATGCAGAATGCAGGGTTAAATAAGCAGCTAATCAATGCGCGGCCAAAACTCCAGCGCTGGCTACTAAACAATTATCGGGCAATACTGCTGCCACGAGCTCAGAGTGGTCAAACGACGGGTATCGCGACCTCGTGGCAGCCCACACGGGACGAAGCGAACATGCGAAAACCAAGCAGTCAAATCCAACCTTCTTCTATCGTCACCTCATCCAGAGGCGCTCAACACATAGTTCGCTGTCTTCTCAGCTTCCGCGTCAAAATTTGATGTTGAAGGGGGAGCCCGGGGGATCGCGCAGGTCCAATCGAAATTGCGTCGATTCAGACGGCCCGCGACTATGTTGTGCTTGAGTCGGCGTGGCATTCTCGTCTAGGTCGATCGAGGACGCTTCGGTGCTGACCGACGGGGGCGCACGCGGTGTGCTTCTCGCATGCTGAACCCCCTCTCGACTGTCTGAAGACGACGTGACTCGCTCAGGCGACGTCTCGCGCTCGCTATAGCCGCCGCCCCGCATACGTAAAACGGGGTTGCTTGAGGGTTCCGACAGGACCAGTGAAGGATTCGGTGGTGTAGCGCGTCCATTCCTCTCAGATGAAAGCCCTCGTGAAGATGATTTGACATGGTCAGTAGACTGACTCCGCATCGTCGCCGGCTTCTTCGGAGGCGGCACCTGGGGCGAGTTCGTGCCTTTGCTTCTCCCAGCGCTTTGAGGTGGGCCGTTTCTGGATGGAGTCTGTTGTTGCTGCTGTAGGTGGTGCTGTTGCTGTGTTTGTTGCTGCTGTTGCTGTTCTTGTTGTTGCTGCTGTTGCTGGGACTCAACTTCTTGTACATGGTTCAGGAAGTTGATTTCGTCTGTCAAAAAGTCCTTCTCCGTCCAACAGCCCTGCCAGCAGTTTCGCCAGTCCAAAATGAGGAATTGAAAGCAAAAGGCGTCGATCTTGATTGCCGGCTGGAAACAGATGCACAGGTTGTTGTAGTTCATTTTGTTGAATTCGGAACATGAGTGCAACAGGCTGATGTGGCAGGTAATCGCGAACAATAGGTAGTAGTTGAATGGTGGGAGCTTCGAGAGCTCATCCTTAAGCATTTGCGGCGTCGTCTTAGCGCCCTGGCATTCTTGCTGGATTGCCGTCTGGACCGCTTTTGGAAAGATTTCATCTGGCAGCTGTCGGAGCCAGTTCTTGAAGAGTGAACCGATGACGTTGGGGTCGTTCAGGTTGGGATCGCTGATCAAATCGATGTCTCGGTCTGTGGCTTGGTGAGCAATTATCGTGGCAATGATTGAGATAGTCCTACCTTCATCGAATTTGCGTTCGTAATATCGGACCTGCTGGGCTGACCCAGGAACGCGGTACAAGCCTTCCTCTTCACAGCCCCGCATGTTCAGATAGCTAAAGTGGTTGTTAGCCTCACAAGTGGAGAACGAATCGAAGCGTGACCTACTCTATGCACCGCCAAGGCAGAGCTGGCATCCAGAACTCAGTCTTGTCGCGTGACTGTTCTAGACGGGTCGATATCCGTGTCAGCCTCGTCTGTTCGATCAGGGGCTTGTGAATGATTTTGCACACGTAAGGTTCATTCGATATCGGCGTCTGGCTCTCGTGGTTGCTTGAGCTTCGTCCAAGTTTGCCGAATACACCCTTGCGGGCAGAGTCCATCTTCTCCCCCATGTTGCGAGCTCCTGAACCGAGTTTCGAGATGAAGCCGTGTCCCTTGGTTTCGTTGTACGAACTTGATGCTAGCGATATCTGCTCCGACTTGTCCCTTCGTGGCCCGTTGTCGACGTCCCGTGGTATCTGCTTGGAGCCGTCCTGACGATCTGCCGAGTGTGTTCGTGGCTTGCCTATGCCTCGCCATGATTGACCTTTGTCCATGGGCGCCGGCTTCAATGGCGGGCCATCGCCATTCGTCGTCCACGAACCCGCAATGTCCGGTGACAGTTGCCCTGGTGGGGCTTTGTTTAGTTTGGCACGGGTACCTGAGCTCTCGCCGTCTTTGATGGATTTCGACCTGTTCAGAATGCCCTTCTTCGGTTTGATAGTGTTGCGCTTTGAGTCGGCGTGGGGATCGGAGGAGTCGTTGGAGTTGCCTGAGCCTGTCCGTAATACCTCGGAGCGGTTGTCTGTGGCAGTTAGCGACACGCTGTTTGTCTGGGCTACTGTAGCCATACCATCCGAGTTGGGGGTGCGCACGGGGCGGCCGAGGTCTGGTGTCGAAGCCCCGCTGCGCCCGTTGGAGTATAGACTGGGCGAGTGTTGTTGTTCAGGAAGCTGCCGTATCGAGTTCCCCTGGCTGTTAAGGCGTGACGACGATTTGTTGGCGCTGAAGTTGGAGAAGATGCTCTTGGAGTCCTTGCGAGGCTTCGGTGAGGCTGGTGACTGTGGCATGCTATGAAACGAGGCATTGGGAGCGGCATAGTCGAGGTCCTCAGGCATATCTGGCGACCTCGGACTTTTGGGACTCATAGGGCCGTTGGCGTCGTCCTTGTTCTTTGGCTTGCCCCGCATAGCCAGCGACAGTGTCGAGGACTTGGGCATCTTTCGTATTGTTTTCCGTGGAGGGTCGCAGGGCTACTGACTCCTTAGCACGGCTCCCTTAAAAAGCAATGGCTGCTGCCAAGCGTGCAGGTCGAGGGCCGCAATACCTCGATGGGTGTTGGTGGGACGAGGGCGCCGATGTGCAGGCAGTCGAGCGAGGGTGTGAATAGACGGTGCGGCGCGTGTAGAGGAAGGAGCGGTGGCAGGCTCAGTGGTTGCGGCACATGGGCGGTTGCGCGGTCAACGAGTCTGTATTGCATGACTGTCAGCAGCGGACTCATAGCTGGCGCAGAGGGGTGAAAGCCAGCGGGAGGTATTAGACGGCGCGCGGGGTGGTACGAACCGTGAGAGCCTGGTCGGCGCTGGCTGCGGGCGTGCCTCGAAGCGTCGGCAGCAGGTGTCGAGTCTATATCACCGCCGGCAGGACGTTGCTCCCATGCAGCAAGCCGGGAGGACAGGCGATGCCGAGCGCGTGCTACGGCAGTCGTTGGCGGGCACAGAGGTCGTCGAGTATGGCGGTCGCGGGCAGGTGAGGCGGTCATGCAACGTCTGGGATGTGGTCAGCAAGCGCTGCGGAACGTGAAAGGGGCCGGCGGCGCTATGGCGAGGGTTGACGGTGGTACAACATGGCGAGGGTACGAGTGGCAGCGGCGAGCGAGGTGTCGCAGCGCCGTGGTTGGGCATTACTCACCCACTTTCACACACAAGACTCGAGGGGTCTACGGGGCGCCGCGACGAGGGAGAGGCGCTGGGGTGAAGGGAGCGAGTGGAGCGTGGAGCGCAGGCTGGGCGGCCGTTGCTTGGAGTGCGGTGAGCGGCGCCTTGGTCAGCAAAAGGACACAATTCACGTGTCTCTGTGGTGAGTGCGATGGAGGGGCCCAAGGCACAGACAGGCTCTGCTGCAATCAAGAGCAAAGGGCACCAAGGGCTGCGAGAGGATGGCGGCAACGACTTCAGCACGGTGCACGGCCCCAGGTACAGTACGAGGGCGCGACGCTGCCACCACCCCCCAATTCGGCCCACCAACGCTATCGCAAACGGCTGTCCACGGCGGGCGTAGTGCGATCTACCTAAGTAACATGCATGTGTGCTCACCGCCAGGCGACGGACTATCGACGGCAGACTATCGACGCTGCACAAGAGCACCCTCTGCATCGTCATTGTTGCGAGTGCGAGGCTGTCGCGGCTGCCAGACCGAAATGCTTCATGTGCCAAGTCTCGTTTCAGAAATTATGAGACCCTGTCGGCGCCATCCATGCTGCCTCGACTAGACCCTCCCGCGCCGCCAGCTCCCACCAACTCCTCCCACATCTGACACCCGTCTAACATGTCTCTCGTTTCCGGGCCCGGGCGCGCCGCTGGGATGGCCAGCCTGCCCAGCGAGATGCACCTCTTCGTCGACAGGCACGTCGCCTACATCCAGAGCCTCGACACTGTGCGTAGCCCGTCCCCAGTCCATGTGGCCGCGCAAGCTCCCGGCCATCCAATCCCGCGCTGACCCGCTGCAGCGCAAAGATGAGCTCGAGTACTGGCTCACCGAACATCTGCGCCTCAACGGCCTCTACTGGGGACTGACGGCCCTGCATCTCCTGGGCCGCCCAGACGCCCTTCCACGCGCTCCCATCCTCGACTTTGTCATCTCGTGTCTGCATGATAATGGCGGCCTCGGTGCTGCACCGGGCCATGATGCCCACATGCTCTATACCGTTAGTGGCGTGCAGATACTCGCGACGCTTGACGCTTTCGGTGAGCTTGAAGAACGCATCCCCGGCGCCCGCCTGAAAATCGCAAAATGTAAGTCATCTGCAGCTTCGCCGTGATAGTCTACTTATTGTGGTAGTCATCGCCGATTTGCAAGATCGCGAGACGGGCACCTTTGCAGGCGATGAGTGGGGCGAGCAGGATACTCGCTTTCTCTACGGCGCCCTAAATGCCCTGTCTCTCATGGGCCTGCTTGAACTCGTAGATGTCGACAAGGCCGCTCAATACGTGAACTCGTGCGCCAACTTTGACGGCGGATACGGTACCAGCCCCGGTGCCGAGTCGCACTCTGGTCAGGTGTTCACGTGTGTTGGCGCACTGACCATCGCGGGGAGACTCGACCTTGTCAACCAAGAAAAGTTGGGCGCCTGGCTAAGCGAACGACAGCTCAAGAACGGAGGCCTCAACGGCCGGCCAGAGAAGAAGGAAGACGTCTGCTACAGCTGGTGGGTCATGAGCAGCATGGCCATGCTAGACAAGCTGCACTGGATAGACGGTCAGAAATTGACGAGCTTCATCCTGCAGTGCCAGGTGGGTAGTGTCTTCTCTTCAGCATCATCGCCATCTAACCATGAATGATAGGACCCAGATCTGGGTGGTCTCGCAGACCGACCTGGCGACATGGTCGACGTCTTCCACACCGTCTTTGGAATCGCTGGTCTCAGTCTGCTGAAGTATCCCGGTCTGGAAGAGGTAGACCCCGTGTAGTATGTGACCACTGCTCTCGCATCTCAACGCGTATACTGACCAACGCGCAGCTGCATGCCTCGCTCAGTCACCCGTAGATGCTTAGGTAAGTAAGCGAGAATGCCATCAACAAATGCTAGTTGTGTCGTCTCGCGCCTGTAGATTTCATGACCATTCACTTGCATTCGTATCTGTGTATTATTCGTTCAAGCCTGTCTTCCCGCTATCTAATACCTCGCGTCTCTCTCATAGGCGTCGAGACACAAAGCGGGAGGAAAGTGAGGGTGGCTTCCTCTTTTGTCAGTGCCGAGCCCCCACGTGCTCTGCCTGCTAGAACACCACCAACAGACTTCCTCCTGCTGCAATTCTCTCACTGCGACACGGTACCTTCCTCTCTTCTCCTTAAAAGTGCTGGCGCCTCTCCTGCTTTCCATTTATTCGCTCAGGAAATGGGCTAGGAGCTACCGCGGTGACCGGCAGCCATCTCTGTACTAGGTCTCTCATGAGCACCTCTCCCACCGTCACTTCGCCTTCTCCACCTTCAGTCCGCTCCTTTCGCAACGCTCTCTGCTTTCAATACCGCGCTGCTCTTGTGCTTGTTTCACTTACGCTCCTTACAAACACCGCATCCACACTGCAGCTTTCACCTTGATATAGTGCAGCCTTGCCAGGCTTTCGGCATGGCCAACATTCCGCTTCACTGCAACATTTGCCCCAAGAAGCCAAACTTCAGCGATGTCTCGCATCTACTCACCCACATCGCCAGCAAAGGCCACTTATCCAACTACTACAAGGTCAAGGTCCGCTCCACCAACGAGGATGCATCCCGCCGGCTCATTGAGACGTACGACCAGTGGTATGCCGAATGGGCTGTCGAAGAGCTCATGTCGGACCGGATGAATCAGAAGGACAAACGCCGTACCCGCGCGAGGCCTGCTGGTACGGCCACCTCCTGCATCCGATTGTACTTGAGACTGATACTGACTACACCTGAAGCAGCCCGGCCGGCGCCTCCGCTCAAGATCGAGGCCCCCGCGCCACGTCCTGTACGTCGCGCCGCCGCAAGCGCTCTCCTCGATCCACGCCTGTCGGAGCAGCAGCACACGATGATCAAGCTAGAGCAGTCGCCTTCTCCGACGCCGCAACCTCTCGGCCCGGTCCTCCGCAATCGCAATACCCTCGCACCTCATATGCAGTACTGGCCTACAGAGTCTCGCGCCAGCTCTCGCAGCTATACCAACCCAGACTATGATACTTCCAGTGAATACTCCGATCCGAACGAGCAGCGTCGGAGGTCATACCGGTACAACGCTGCGGCTTCGTGTGCCATTGAAGATGAACCTGCTGAGGTTGCAGATCCGATGGCTGTCAGCGAGTCGACCAAACTCAAAGGTGTCTACTGGCCTGGCATGGACATCTTCGACTCTGCTACCCCAGAGATGCGGCGCAAGAGGAACCAAAAGAAGGACAGCTCTGTCGTCGAACAGCTGGAGCTCAACTCCCAAGTAGTCGAAGCAACTGAGCTCATCTTCACACCGTTGGAATCTTTCAAACGCCAGCGCAGGATCTCGTGCTCGGAGTCTGACGAAGAGGACGAGGTCGAGATCAAGACTGAGAGCCCCCAGCCCGTACGTCGGCGACCTGCACTCGCCAGTCTTGATGCAAACACCACTCGCCACTCTACTAGACAGTCCAAGCGGCCCGTATTTCCTGTCCTCAGCCGCAACCAATACGATGATGATCGGGGCCGTCCTGGCTACGACCATAGCCGCAACAACCGTGCTCCGAAGCGGAAGCAGTTTGACGTTTACCAAGACGATGATGACGTTCCATTCTCGCAGCCCAATGGCATGAACTATCTCACATCTGGCTTCACTCACCAAGCATCTCCATCTCCTGCACCTGCATTCAACTCTTACAAACCCTTCAACGATCCGTTCCAGTATGATAACAAGGAGAACGTTCTACCTTCGTTCCACCAAACGGCTTATGGTAACTTTCATGGCCATCAGAACAATGCCTACCAGTATCCCACCTACTCCTATGGCATTGGGCCTGATCAACAGGCCTTCCAGTACACCAGTCATCTCTACAACACTGCAAGCGCGTACCAGCAACAAGACCAAGATGACGATGACCAACGTACCATCACAGCTCCACCTTCGCCGTCTACAAGCTAAGCGATTGGAGACTGTGCCCTCTTTCCCTTCCCAACGCGACACCTACGCTCGGCTTCACTGAGCTGTAGCAGATACCCGACTGTTCACGCTCGTTCCATCTACCGACTTATGCATGCGACTTACTTTCCTGCGTTTCTTCCTGGTCCATATTTTCTACACGGTGATATATGACATACGCTGCGACAAGTAGCGACATACGACATCATTTACTGCGATATCTTCCGAGAGGCGCGCTATGGGGATCGCTGGACAGATACTCAGGCATGTTCTTTTCATTTCTATGCCGTACTCTACTGTGCACTTTGCCTGCGAGCATGTGATTGCTGGTAAGAAGCTGGTGGGCATGTACAGTATCGCTGTTTTCTCCCTTACATGTTTAATATAGAGAGTTTGTTGTCTTCCGGTCGTGTAACTCATAATCTCTCGATCTGATTCATGACTCCACCGCCACTCCAATACCCACCTGCAATGTTCCTGTCTACCCATGTCACGCTTCCATAGCTTCCGCGCATCATAACATCATCTAGTCGTATACCAATCTTCGTACCGTTCCTTTCTTACTCCCACTTCCCACTACCGCCCATGACCTTATTCCGTCGTACCTTCTCCAGATGCTCCACACTCTCATAACCATTAATCCTCGCATACAGCACCCTCAACAACCCACCTACCACCCACATAATCACGCCACTCACAACAAACAACCCAATCCGCTGATTCGTCGTGAGCATCGCAAAAATGGGGTAAGGGTAGAAACCATTCTGCAAAAAGCAGATTTCCTAGAAGATGGTGTGTATGGTTAGCTGAGTGTACTTGAGCAGTTTTGAGAATGGGATAATCTTACGATCCAGATCCAATATGTAAATGCAGTGATGGTGGAGAGAGCGAGTGTGATCATAGGCGCAGACTCATTCATTGGCGTGGTAGGCCATGGCGGAGAAAGCAGGATGTAATCTAAGGCCAGGACTACAGCAGGGACGAGATGGAATCCTATGTCGTAGATTGCTGGTGGTAGCGGGATATCACTATCATTCTCTCGTTAGCAAAAACAGACGTCACGGGAACAACACCAATCCCTGGAAAGTAGGAGTAACAAAGAGACAACATACGGTTGCACCAAAAGCTTCCCATCAATAGCCTTCAACGTCCAGTACAGAATGCTGATGGTGGCTTCAATCGGCGCTGCCACCAGCGCGAGGTAGTTCTTTAGCCGGAACAGGTGGTCTGAGAGGGCGACGGCAGGCGGGTTTGACGGGAGCGTGGAGGAGGCGGAGAGGGCGGTGGAGGTTAGGTCTGCGATGAGGCCGAAGAGGAAGGTTAGGGTTGAAAGCGAGAGGCCGATTATGGTTAGGAATTGAAGGTGCCAGCCGAAGGAGGAGTTCTGGGATTGTTTGTTAGAGCGTGGGTGGGGAGGGGATTGGGTTGGATGGAAAGTGGTGAAGGCTGGTGAGGGTTGAGGTGTTGTGTGCAGGAACCATTATGGGATGTGGAGATATGTTTTCGAGAATGTTTTTTACATACAAAGACATTTGGGTTATCAATTAAGCTGGACTCATGTTAGCTAGTTGCAAAGTTGGCGGGATGCAGACATACAACTTGAAGGAACTGTAGAAGCTAATCAGACCAGCAACCTGTAATACAAATATTCGTCAACATTTTGCCTTGCCTAACGCTTTCCAAGGTTCTCTGTTACTTACGTGCAATGCGCCCGAAAATCCTTTGGATGGAGAGTCAAATCGCTGAAGCGGATGCCGCCGGCTCGCTGTGGGCTCGACTTCCCCAGATTTCTTCGACGAAGCAGCCATGTTGTGCGCCTCAAAAGCGGATAATGTACAGTCAAATTAACACCTGGAAATGCTGGAATACGTGGGATATCAGATGGTCGTCTTGCAGAGAAGTTTTGAGGCCGTAGAGAAATGCAATGCCATCAGAAACACAACATGACGTATAGTTTTCTCAAAAAGCTTCACCTGGCACCACAGCGGCGCCAGCCAAGCCAACGTGGGTCCCCCAGCGACTGCCGTTTGAGCCTCGGAAGTTTGCCGCATCGAGATCTGACTCAGCAAGCAGCGCAACCAGCAACCAGCAACAACCATCAGCAGTCTGCGATCGAATGTCCAGTGTATTCACCGACCTCAGACGTTTACTCATCACTCCTGTAACACAGACCCATCCGTATTTAAACGACATCCCACGTATCATCTGACGTCTTGTGGATAAACTCCGTGCCTACCCTCGCGGCTAAACCTCGGCGAAAGCGCTGCCGACGGCTCGCCAACGGAAAAGGTACGAATCAGAGCACGATCAGGCCGTCCGCCATGGCAAAACCTCGGCACGCTTACGAGTGCCACTACGGTAGATCTCGAGACGCGCCAATGATGCGCGAATGTGTTCCCCCAATTCTCCACAACGAAGCGTCTCGAGATGCACCGATGCGGTCGACGATGGTGTGCTTTCCCGGAGAGACGGTCAGGATTCCCGTGTGGGATTGGAGGCGAGCGCGGAGGAGCGGCGTTGGAGTACTTATATCCAGGGTCGTGCGCGGTGGAGGGGGGATGTGTAGAGCGGTGATACCCTTTTCGTTGCAAGGTGCTTTTTGTTGAGTGTATCTGTCACTACGGGCGAATAGACGGTAGCGCGTGGTTCATTTCACACCATTGTCGAGTTTTCTTGGGTGATTGCTCTTCTACGACACTTTTGAGAAGATGGGTTCAAAAGTTGAGACTGTCCTTCAGTCTCTGACGCTGGAAGAGAAGATATCGCTGCTTGCTGGGAAGGACTTTTGGGAAACTGTGCCTGTACTTGATAAGGGCGTTCCCGCTATCAAGGTAGGACTTTGCTCTGCAACTTTAGACTTGCTTCACAGTGACTGACGCACAGTAGACTAGCGATGGACCGAACGGTGCACGTGGCGAAGTGTTCACAGGAGGAACACGAGCTGCATGTTTCCCTGCTGCAGTGTGTTCAGCGGCGACGTGGAATCCTGAAAATGCAAAGCATATAGGCCATGCGTTGGCTGAAGAGACTAAGACGAAGAGCGCGCGAGTGCTGTATGTCTGCTGATGTACGAGGCGCATATTCACTGCTAACGAAGCCTCAGTCTTGCGCCCACCATGTGCAACCATAGACATCCCCTCGGTGGCCGCAACTTTGAATCTTTTTCCGAAGATCCGTATCTTGCTGGCAAGATGGCCGCCAATGTGGTCAGCGGGCTACAAGAGAAAGGCATCGCAGCGACCATCAAGCACTTTGTAGCCAACGAGCAGGAGACGGATCGCCTGAAGGTCAACGAGATTGTGTCTGAGCGTGCACTGAGGGAAATCTACATGAAGCCTTTCGAAATCACCATCAAGGAAGCGAATCCCCTCGCTGTTATGACATCTTACAACAAAGTCAACGGAACACATGCAGATTCGAACGAATTCCTCCTCAAGCAAGTCTTGCGTGGTGAATGGGGGTGGGAAGGGCTTGTCATGAGCGACTGGGGTGGTACCAACTCTACGGCCGACTCGCTGAACGCTGGATTGGATCTAGAGATGCCTGGTCCGACGAGGTGGCGCAGTACCGATGCTGTCCTTGAGGCTGTCAAGAAGGGCCAGGTCACCGAAGCCACCATCACCGAGCGAGCGAGAAATGTTCTGAATCTTATCGAAAAGGTGGGCGCGTTCGAGAACCCAGAGATTCCGCCTGAGCAGTCTATCGTCGACCCTAAGCATAGCAAACTTATTCGGGATGTTGCTGGACAGGGCATTACCCTACTAAAGAACAACGGTGTCTTGCCGCTCAGGAAGGAAGAGGTCAAGGGTAAGACGATCGGGCTGTTCGGTCTGGCTAAGGAGGCTCTGATTCATGGTGGCGGAAGTGCTTCATTGAATGCTCACTACCGCATCACTCCGGAAGAAGGCCTCAAAGCTGCCTACGAAAACGACGTGGAATTCAAGTTCGCCAAGGGAGCCGCCACGTATCGACTCATCCCACCCCTATCGAAAGGCTGTAAAGATCTTGAGGGAAACGACGGTTGGAAGATGGAACTCTTCAACCAGGGCAACACCAGCAAGCCCATCAAGATAAAGCATGGCTACAAAGAAGCGGCATTTTCTCCACTGCTCGAACAGAGTGCCAAGGACAGTGAAGTCAGATTTACCACCGTCTTTACTCCCAGCGAATCTGGATCTCACTATCTCGGCTGCTCAGGCATCGGCCCTACAGTCGTTCACGTAAACGGCGAGCTCGTCTACGAGCAAAAGCACAACTCACCAGATGCCATGGGCTTCCTCTTCGGCGGCAACCCCGAAAAAGAGTTCCGCGTCCCATTCACCGCAGGCAAGCCCTGCGAAATCCAAGTCCACTCCAAGCCGCCCGCCGGCGACTCAAAAGGTGACATTCTCGCCGGTCTCCCCGGATTCAGACTAGGCTTCATGTACGCCTCCGAGCACGATCTCGACATGGCCGCCGAAGCCAAAGCGCTCGCGGAAGAATGCGACATAGCCATCGTCTTCACAGGCCACACCCCCGTCTGGGAAACCGAGGGCCAAGATCAAGTCAGCTTCCACCTGCCCCGTGAAGGTTCTCAAGACAAGCTCGTCGAAACAGTCGCATCCGTGAACCCGCGAACCATCGTCGTAAACTCGACCGGTGTAGCTGTCGCCCTACCCTGGCTCGACAACGTCTCCGCACTCATTCAAGCCTGGTTCCCGGGTCAAGAAGCCGGAAACGCCATTGCTGATATCATATCTGGTGCCGTGAACCCTTCTGGTCATTTACCTATTTCATGGCCTAAACGCATCGAAGACGCGCCTGCGCATGGTCATTTCCCTGGTACGCGCGACGAATCGGGGCAGCTTACTGTCAAGTACGAAGAAGGCGTTTTTGTGGGATACAGACACTACGATCGTATCGCTGCGGATAAGATTCATTTCCCCTTTGGTTTCGGGCTGTCGTACACGACCTTCTCTTTCGCTGAGGCGAGCGTTGAGCAGTCGTCGCCAGGACACTTTTCTACGAGCGTTGTGGTCAAGAACACGGGAAGTGTTGCTGGGGCCACGGTGGTGCAGTTGTATGTGGGTAGGAAGGAGAAGGCTGCAGAGCATCCGGTGAAGACTCTTGTGGCTTTCCGGAAAGTGGCTCTTGAGGCTGGTGCGCAGGAGACTGTGCGGTTGGATGTCAAGAACAAGGACTTTGCTTACTTTGATGAGGGGAGCGGGAAGTGGGTCGTGGATCGGGGGCAGTATGAGTTTTTGTTTGGACACAGCGCCGGGGAGATTGAGGGCGTTGTGACGGTGGATGTTGAGGGGGTGAGGGAGTTGAAGTTATAGAGAGGCTTTGATTCGTTTTTATTACTCTGCCGTTTCGAGGAATGTGAGGAAACAACCAGGCCGGTCATGAAGCCTGTACTTTGTGCACGTGACGTACCTAACATGCTCAACGCACCAATACCTATTCAGCTGGCAACTGATGCAACCTTCTTCTTCCTGCAATAATACGCCAATGTATTCTCCATGACCTAGATACTGCTATGCGCATAATTCTTTCCTTGTACCTGTCTCTTTTATACTCCTGACCCTTTACAAGGCGTCACGGCTCTGTCTTTGACGACGAACAGCTTGTTTTTGCGTCTCAAACGAGGGCAAACACTACTTCAAAAAATCCTTTCTGATCTTGCAGTCCGGTCGTTTGACTGCATATGAACTGTCGGGACCATGATGAGTTGTCTTCCGTACCTATCTAGGTAGGTACTCCGCGAGCCAACTGAGGTCACGTGATGGTACTCAAGGCTCCGGTCTAATGACCAGAGATGATGATAAAAAAACAGCATTCATACTAGGGAACGTGTTGAATACTAGAAGAGAAGACAAGCCATTTCAAGATGGAAAAGGCTATACCACTAGAAAAGCTACACAACAAGCGGGAAATACCGTGAGCGATTCGTGCACATCGGGTACATCAACCGCAAGCGAGAAGAAACAGGGAAACTAGGAAAGCTGAGTGTCGAAACCCGATGACAAGGCTCTACACGGTTTACCCAAGATACAGTTTTGATGAAGCCTCAAGGAAAGAAGACGTACACGTGCGTCCCACTAAAACGCACGCTCGGTACGAACAGACCGAGGAAGCAAGCAACTCCAACAAAAGAAGCAACATCACGAACCCCCTGTTCCCCCTTTCTTCTTTCCCACCTCCCTCATCAGGTACATGTAGCCATCACCACTACCATCAAGAAACACCTAGGTACCAAAACATGCACACATCCTACACACCGCCGAAAGCGGAGCGACCGAAAGAAAAAGAAGCAAGATGATCAAAACGCCGGAGCGTGTCAAATCCCACACCTCAACAGCACCAAAGGCAATCGCGATCCAGCATAACCGCCATTACTCATCAGCCTACCACCACGGGTACTAGCGCGAGGCCCGAGCTCATCTTTCCGCGGACCCTCCTTCTCTCCCTCTTTCCTCCCCACTTAAAAAGTCGAAACCTTGGAACAGACGTGAGATGTGGGAGGGAACCGGCACACCGGCGTTGTTGGGCAGCGATAAAGTAACGCACAGACGCTCATGGGCAAAAGTGTGAAATGGCATGCCAGCGGATAACGCGGCATCGAGGATGCGCTGATCTAGATTCGCGATGCTTGCTGTGTAACTTTGAGGATTGTGTGTGGTGTGTGCGAAACAGGCTGGGTTCTAGAATTGCGCGATGGGGCATGGGTTGTGGGTTTTTTTGCTTGGATTGGTTATAGGGATGGATATGCATATGTGGCTATTGGGGTGTGGGAGAGTTTGTGCCTTTTCGCATCTCGCACTGTCCTTCTGCATTCTGCGTTTCCGCTTGTTTAGCTGTTCTATTGCTCTCGGGTATAACGGCGTTTGCTAGTAGTTGGTCCTTGTGTGTGGGTGTGGGTGTGCGGAAAGCGTTGGGGCTACTATGGCAAGCTCGGAAGCGATGAATGGGGATGAGGCTTTTCAGAGCTTCGTCCGGAGATGCGCGGGTTGCTGGGCTTGGCTTTGGGTGCGATCCTTGTTCTACGTACCTGGGTGCTCTGCAAAATCTGAGGGGACCACCGAGGGAGTTTGGGTTGCTGTGAGCATGTGCAAGGACACGTGGAGGTAGTGTAAAGTTTACGTTGCATCATGACGATTCTGGCATGTTGCAGATATCTAGCGTCGGTCGTTTTGTACGGACATTCAACCTTGTAGTCGAGATGGCGACTTTCCTACCTGAGCATTCATTGTGGCCAGGGTGCTTTTGCCGACAGACCAGTGGGATGATCATGATGCTCCTCCACGGTGTGTCTGCCCAGGAGACTTTTCATAGGTCGCGGCCACGTAACCCGCGAGGGTGGGTATCCCTACCCGGAGGCACTAGACGCAAGTAAGGGCCAGAACAAGAACGAAGAGGTCGAGAACCCTCCCTACGACCCTGCCAGCCCTGAAAGGGCCGATCAAGATAAAGTCAAGTTCTGCATGTAAAAAAATATCGACAAATTGAAAAGACCATGAGCAGGGGCGGCGGTTGAAGTGCGACCGGGGTTTGCGCGCAAAACACAGGACAAGTCCGAGCGGGATAATGCAGGAGAGTATGTTACATTACGAATGAGAGTAATAAGAATACAGAAATGGATAACTCCAATGAAACTACGGTGACAAGAGAACGATGTGGGAAGGAGAGCATACTCAATTACCCACACGAATCCAAGCACTAGCTTCGTTTCCTACGTGTCTCTTGATCTCATCTTGCCTATTAGAAGATCATGTCATCGTCAAGTTTTCGTTCCTCGGTGATAAAAAATGGCAGAAGCGAATGAATGCAGAAGAGCTCCATCTAGCGCCCACTGCCCGGCAGTGGAGGGCCCGACAGAATTCTTCCAAGTGCAACAAAGAGGCGCATCGTTACGTCTCAAGCTTCAAGTCGTTCTAGCCGAGATCAACGGTAAACAAGCGTCTGGTACATCAAGTGCAATGCAATGAGGCCAATTGAGGCTTGACAAGTGCCTAGAATGTTCGCATCTGGGGCATCATCATGCCGGTGGCTACACCGGGCGGCATTACCGGTGCACCGGCAGCCGACGGTCCCATTCGATGGAACATCTGGACCAGGCGCTCTCCAACACTGGGTTCGAGTTCTGTGCCATCTCTCGCAATCTTGACTTCGCGATTCGCATTCCATGGGTTGCGGAGGCCACGGGTGCGGTAAAATGGTAGGCGGTTCGTCGAGACCCACTCGATCTTGAAAGGCTTGCCCCAGCTCTGCGGAACGGCTGAGGTGTCGGCTTCAATTTGTTGCGGCGCATCGTCTCTCTCAGTCTTGTCGTCATTGTTCTGTGCTTCTTCTTCGCCGTCTGTTTCGGGTAGCTCTGCCTCCCAGAAGATTGTGCCGCGCGCAGAGTCGTCAATGATCCTTCCTCGCGGCGCCCATTCCGTTGCCGGAGTAGCGATCGCCTTTGGCACATCCGTCGCGTCTAGGGTGGCCTCGGGCTTGGGGGCCGAGCCTATCGTGGGAGACCCATCTTCAAGAATTTGTGACGCCATGCGTGCGTAGCCGAAGTACTCGCCCGACTTGTTCGCGGAGAAGATGAGGTAGACATTTTCAGCAGACTAGATTCTGTCAGTCAACGGTCTTGAATGTGGAGAGTAGGGTGCGCTCACCTGGAAAGCCTTGTTCAGGACATCTTCGTTATGAGACTGTGTGGCCCAAATACCGTTCCGTACACTGAGCTCTAGGTCTTGTAGCGTGAGGCTTTTCACGATGAAGTATTTGGTGGCAGTGTCCACAGATAATTTAAGATCTTCAACACTTTTGTGCGATGGCGAGTCAACTGCGTCTTCGGTGGGAGCATCGGTGAAATTGTCTGGTGTCGGAGTCGTTGCTCGAGAAGCATTCTTCTGCTGGCCTATCATGGCCGAAGGCGCCGTGGGTACACCTGATGCCGGAGCAGAGCTGCGTCGAAGGCGGCAGACTAAACGTACGCCGCTGAAGCGCGAGTCGTGGAACCTGTGCATTGCGGCTGTGCAAGATGCTTCTGTGCGGTAGTTGACGAACGCACAGTTGCTCTTGGAAATCAAGAACAGACTTTCAATGTCCTTGGTAGCGTCGCGGGAGAAGTGATCCTTCAGGGCGACTATCGTAGTCCCAGGTGGGAGGTTACCAACCCAAAGTGCGTGTCCAGATTGTTTGGGTTTGCGAGGCGGTCCACGAGGTATGGAGCTCACGGGCCCAGGACGAGGCATGCCTGGAAGGTCATCAGTAGCTGTGTGCACCATTCTGCGACATCGAACTTGCGCAATGGCAGGTCGCGGACTTTGCTTACCGGAAGACTGCGCAAACTGTACGCCGTATGGAGACATGATTGAGCTTGAGTCGCCCATGTAGTTTCCAGTGGCCATTCGAACACCAGGGAAGCCACCATCACCATGCGAATAATCCGCAACATGGCCTTGCATACCCGTGTTCGTCGAGCCGGCTTTCCTTTCGTACATTTGGCCCTGAGCACCAAATCCAGGATTGAATTGCCCCTGTTGTCCGTATGGTGCCGGATAATACATGTACTGTGAAGCCTGCTGATAGTTTTGGTAGGGCGACTGCATCGGCGCCACGCCTGCTAAACGAGGCTGATTTGTCGGGTAAGAAGGATAGGCGTTGTACTGTGAGCCTTGTTGAGACATGAAGTGTTGTTGGGGGAGACTTGTAGCGAATCCAGGTCCATAGGAAGCATGAGCGGACATGTTACCGGGCATTTGCAGGTTCTGCCCAAGCTGGTATGCCACAGCTGAGGTGGATGCGCCCGACAGGGAGCGTGGTACTTGCGGGTTCATCGGAGTGTTGTCGTGTGCGCCGTAGTTGGGCAATGCACCTGTCATTGCACCCATATTAAGTGGTGAAGTGCCGTGTTCTTGGGACTGATAGGTTCCGTTCGCGTGCGTTGATGAGCGATGGTCGGGTCGCAATTGACTTTGGGGTAGACTGCTAAGTTGAGAGTAGAACGGATCGTTGCTGTCGGGAGACTTGAGAGACGTGGGAAACGAATTCGAATTGTTTCCGTCACGCGCGAGACTGGCTGTCGTGTTGTCCATGGTATGAGACCGTGGACCGGGAGGTAGGTCGCCCATGTGTGGCTCGTAAACGACAGGAAGTGGCACCCACTGTTGGACCCAAACGAAAGACATGTTAGTCCATGTTACAACTAATACAACGAGTGCTAGAAAAACGAATGTGTAAAGGCCCGACTCAACCAAATTTTCCGAACATAGGAGAATACAACGTACCTAATTCTATATCAACGTATCCTTGAAGGGATGTGGCAAGCCGGAAAGGACGATACCCGAAAGTAAGTCGCTTCGCAAGAGAGACGACGATCAAGGTTTGCCAATGGGTAAGGGAGGCTATGAGGTGATCGCGTGTAAAAAAAGATGCCGGCAGTAGGAGAAACCGTTTGAGGGAAGATGAACGGCTTCGGTTGATGTACTACCTGGAGAAGGAGCTCGCTTAAGGCGGAACGAAGATGATGGTCAGAATTGCACGACCACTCAGACGGCAGAAGCGAGCTCTCAAAGCCTTATGAGGTTGGGGACGGCGCAACGGCAGGGTCCGCAATGGGCAAGCGTACGTGCGGCAGATAGTAGGAGCTAGGGTCGCAGAGATGGGCTCATTGACTAGCTTAGTAGAAACGGGAAGGCCGCCAAAGGGTTCTCGCGAGCTTTCTGCTTCACTCGCCGCTGGCCGCAGCAACTAGCAGCAGCCTGATTGGCTGTTGGTAGGCTTCCCGTGGCTGACAGGATTCGATGTGGAGTGACAGGGTCTGAACCGATGCTTTGGAGGCGAAACGATCACCAAAAGCCCAGCAAGGAGAAGATTGGGTGCCTGAGTCAAGGAAATGTTAGAAAACAAGTGTTGCGGACGTGGTATATCATCGGACGTGGCGAGTGATACCGTTTCTAGAATGCTATGGGCCGATGGCGCTGATCCTAGACTATCTTACCAAAGCTTAGCGGGCCCTTCCTAGCAATCTCCGGTAGGCGCAAATTTAGTGTTTGTTCTGTATACCGAAACGCAAACTGGTGCTGGTGTCAATTTGTCGAGTGAAAACCTGCATGGAAAGTAGAAGAAAGCATTGGACTACGAAGGTGCTGGGAGACCATGGTACCAGGGGGTCTGCTAGCACCGGCTTGTATAGTGACAGCATCGCCTAGATCAAGATCATGAAGTAATTCAGCGCCGTCCATAGGAACGGGCCCAACATGCATGCGAGTTGGCGGACCAATCGAGGAGGCTGTATGGATAATGGAGCAGACGCGACATGCACGAACTGAGCCGCCCAGAAGACTCCGGCCCTCTAGGGAGCAGGGTGAAGCCATGGATGCCGCGTGGACGTGATTAGGGCGTCACGATAATGACCAGGCATGGAGCCAGCCCAGGGAGCTGACAGGGGACCCGGTAAAAGCATCTCGCGGCGTTGTTGAGTCCTTCGTGGTAGGCTGGCTCGGCGGTGGTACTCCCCTGGTGACCCTGCGGCGGGAGTGCGTCGAAACGAGGATGGAAGAAAGATGGAGCGGGCAGCTATGGCTGTGGGACCTATACAGGCCTAGCGCCACAGCGCGACAGTGGGCCTCGACATGACAGCGTTCGCTTCCATGAACGCGAACACGCCGGCGCAGCCAAAGCTTGACAAGTCTGCACTTGGTTTGGTTCGGCACGCTGCTCGGCAGACGGCTGAAATGAATGGCCCGAAAACCGTTTGCTCAAACATGCAAAGTGGTTCTGGCCTGCGAGTGAGGCCGGTTCGCCACAGTCGGAGTGACCGCTCCATGACAGCCCTACTAGTGATCTCCCGCCACAGCACAGCCACCACACTTGTTCCCGCGTGGTCATGATCGACACCCGGGCGAGCAATGAATCAAACGTCTGTCCCGTCCGCCGGGGTGCAACAATGACGTTGTCGCTACAAGAATAGATCGCAGATCATGAGCTTATTCGATTCATCTCGACTGACGTCTGCTCACTTGGGGAGTTGTTGTCTTGCTCAGCTGGTAGCTACGAGAGCTGAGATGGGACTGAACTTCGGCCTAATGCAAGATTGCCATGCTAAGATTGCCATGTTCCGTGCAGCCGATGCATGCATTTCCGGTCGCAAGCAGTATGGGAATTGTTAAGCCTTCGCGATACTGCCCACATGACGCAGTGGCGCTGGTAGCATCCGTTGCAGGGTCCAGCACAGATCCATCACCATCGAATCAGCGGCCGGTCGCGAACGCGGACGTTGGCACTACCGCACATGGAGCCTCTTCGTATTCAAGAACCCGGCTGGAACCTTGCGGGGCCCAAGTGCGTGGTGCATAGCAGCTCTGTCGCGAGTACACGTCGGATACAGGCGGTAGGTCCGAATAACGTCGTCCCCGTGGCCACTCGTTACGCGTTGCGTCGCGTAGCATGCAGCAACGAAGCGACTGAGGCTGTGAAGGATGATCTTTCGATAATGTGTCTCCTGTGTCAAGAAATCTTGTACCGATAAACTGCCTAGGGCACATGCACCTCGCCCCTGGCGATCCGTCCTCACCCCACATCTCGGGTCTTGCACGTGGTCGGTAAACGTAGACCCTTGCGACGCAAAAATCAATTGCTCCATCATGAATAGTCTGAGAACAGCTGACACGGCTTGTAAACACAAATCACAACTAGCTTACGGAGATGCACACGTTACTGCAGGGTCATGCATACGATCGCGATCTCTATATTCGCGCGGCCTGCACGGCGACGCAATCTCGAAACTATGTGGTGCCATTTTGCCACCCAAAGTACATTTTCGTAGCAGTGTCGGCGCAAAAAAGGTCAGCTTCAGGGGATATGCGCACATGCACCTGCGTTTCAGAACGCTGGAAGATGCAAAGTACACATCGGCTGCCCCGAGATGCTCATGTTCATGCTCACAGCGCGTAGGTGTGCTGCCCGCGCAGTCGACATACACCGCACACCTCTAATGCACGACTCGGAACAAAAGCCAATGAGGGTATAAACCACGGAACCCAATCGGATGTCCCTCCAATAGCAAACTCCCAGTGACATATCGTACGCTTGCACCTGGCCATTCCCCTGTCTGCGCACAGCCTGTGGTTCGCGCTATTCAAGTGAAGCAGTAGCGTGGGGCTGGTTCAGCATATTTGTCAACCCTCCAACAACTAATGGGTATCCAGCGAAAGCTTCAACGGGCTACAAATTCGCTGAGGAACTCTTCGATGTATTGAAAGTAGCGCGGTTCTGCAACGGTGTCGTTGTGGCTTCCGTTCGGTAGCTCCTTCCAGACTTTAGGCGCTTTGCAGACGTCGAACAACTTGGTCATGTGCGAAGGTCTGTCGAACAGTTAGCAAAGAGAACCCTGCCGGAAACTCAGTGTTTGGAAGTATGTGCGCTTACGGAATGATTTCATCCTTGAGACCGCTGAGGAACAGGATGGGTATCTTGGAAATCTTTGGAAGTGTCTCTTCAGTCGGCCAGATCTGGTGGCAGAGCGGAGTCAGGAAGCGGGCGGGAGGGAAGGCACTACTCTCTGTTAGTGATGGTATGTAAAGCCGATTGAAGGTACCCACGTCGGTATGAGTTTCTTGATCGAAGTAAAGGTGTTCTCCAGGATGATGCCGGAGATGTCACCTTCTCTCTGGTTACGAGCAGCCAATCCGACGGCAACTGCACCGCCAATACTTTGACCGTAGACGACAATCTTGGTGTCCCGAAGTTCGTGTCTCTGCCGGATGTAATCCAAGCCAGTCTGCGCATCGATCATGAGCCCCTTTTCGTTGGGATTGCCAGAGGATAGACCGTAACCGCGGTATTGCAACATCAACACATTACACCGGAGTTCGTTCTCGAGTATCTTTGCGATGGGAAGTCGGTAGCCAATGTTGCCAGCGTTGCCGTGGAACATGAGGACCGTTACGTTGCGCGCATGCTGCTTGTTGGCTCGGATGAAGAAGGCGCTCAGAGACTCGCCATCGGGTGTGGGGATGAACAGCTCCTCATAGTCGGTTATGGCGAACTGGGAAGGTCTGGGGACGTTGGTGCGGGCGTCAGGAGGGAAGGCACGGGGATATATGATTTCACTGCCAAAGTTAGCCAAACCCAAGATGGGGATTGCAAGGATGACGTACTTTTGTTTGAAGTAGAGGAGACCACTGAGCAGCGCGGCGACACCAGAGGACGCTAGAATCGGCACTTTCAGGTAGGAGATGAAGGTGTCGAGAGCCGAAGCCATGCTCCCTGGTCGCACTTCGGGATCGGTGGGGCGTAGGATTGATCTGGGTTCAGGGGCCGAGCGACTTCGTGGGAACAGCTGCCTAGGTGAGGGAGAGCGAGAAGGAATAGAAGACTCGACCATTCGGAGCGACAGTCGCGACAAGGCAGTTGAGGTTCCAGCGCGCAACCGCCTGAACGCGAGCCCTCGAGGGTGTCGCATGGTGCAGCCGGCCACTAAGACCAGTAGCGTAATGCCAAGGAATATCAGCCGCGTAGAGTCGAGCTGCCTGCACCACCACTATAGCAACAACCCACCCCACAGCTTCTCTCGCCCGCACCATACGCCGCCCCATCCTATCGTCCCCCCGGAACTTCTTTCTGCCTCACCAACCAGCTCACCTCGCAATGATGATGTCAACGGGCATGTTGGGAGAAGGTACATTCGCCGCTACAAACAAGTCAACTGCGGAAGCTCACACCGCGCAGATGGCATTCACGTCGACATGAACCACCTCAAGAAGGGAGAGGTCAAGTAAGATACAATACTATCTATAGCGCTGCAAGATTACTAACAGCCATTGTAGCCTCGGAACATCCATGTTTGTCTTTCCTCAACCGCCTCCTCTAAGTCTCTAACAGTACTCAG